GCTGCTCAACTGCAGCTGAGTCCTCCTCACAGTGCTGATGTTCAGGTTCACATCAGCCACTGCAATTATGAAAAAGCTGCATTGCTTGCCCTCCCTTTCTGTCAGCCTCCTCCATTCATAGAACTCATGGTATTCCTTCCCAAAATGCAGTGTTCTGCGATTGGAGGAGGAGGATCATGTCATGTTGCAATCTGGGAAAGAATAGTACAGGGCAGACAAGCAGCTTAACCCTTCCACTCTCATGGTGGCTGATTTTAACCCTGCAGCACAAAAGATCAATGCTGTGGGGAAGATCCAGTGGTAGTGGGGAGAAGATTTCTAAACTATGCAGCAGCCAGCCAAACATGGGACACAGTTCAGTAGAGGTAAGTTGTGTCCAGGGGCGGACTGACCATTTGGAAACTCGGGCACTGCCCGAGGGCCAGGGGTCAGTAGGGGGCCCCATGAGATGCCCCTGGTACCTTTTTCATAGGCTTTTTTGAGTTTGGGCAAGGACACAGGGGCCCCATAATCCCCTATTGCCCGGGGGCCCCATGAGTTGTCAATCCACCCCTGGTTGTGTCTTTGTTGCTGCATAGCAAAAAAAATAAATAAACAACTGAATTTCAACTTTAAAGCTGAACAATACTCACCTTCATCAAAGCATTTATTTCATTGTTAATACTTACCTTCACTCCAGCACTGTGGTGTCCCGGAGCTCCCCGCTGGTTGCTGACATCTTTGGCCAATCTGCTTCTGGGTTCCGGGTGTCTTTGGCTGTGCCTAGATGGCATCACTACAACACATGTGTGGGAGTTCATTCATCTCAACATAGCCAAGTTCAGCTCAGTGTATAGGGTGGGCAGGCACGTGAAAAACCTTAATGCAGAAGAGACATACAGTAGTATGTCTTTTCTGCATTAAAAATCTTGTCTGTTCCTGAAGTTCTTTAGAGGGATGAAAATCTGTAGCAAAATTAAATGAAATTTCTTTCATTAAAGCAGTGAAAATGCTTCTGAACACACTACATAAACAATCATATGTGCTAATCCAATTAAATTATCATCAAGTATCACAGAGTTTCTTCACAGTTACATTAAGCCATATGTCTGTTATGAACATGCAAATGGCCATATTACTGTGCATTAGACATCTCAAATTCTATTGTTACATGGACTTTGTATGGAATAAGGCTGGATTTATACTTTGCATTACATGCATTTTTTAATGTCTGTTATGACATTCTTTTCATACACCTTTGTGCGTCAAAACATGTTTTTAATGCATACCAACATTTCATTGTGTTTCACTGCATGTATTTTGAATGTTCTTGTATGAAAAGCAGCACAGAGAAATGAATGGAGCTGACAGTTCTTTGTTTGCAGTGGTACCAATGAGGTACCCTATTGCGTTATACTCCTGGGAAGAGCATAAATGTGTGAACAGTCTAAGAAATGTTTTGTGTGAACAGTATCTTATATGAATTGTAACTAATATTGGTAAAATATGCAGGAACAGGGAGATCTATATTTCCTAGAATACTTGAAGATTCAGTTGCATGTATAGTCCAGACTTACTATTCAGAAAATGCTCTGAGTTTGAAAATAATTTCTAACAATCAAATTCAATATTTGTTTAATTGCCTGTTTCACTGAGGCTGCACCTCACAATGCTTATAGAGTGTGATGGGGGTACATCATACTCTGTACCAGGGCTATGGCTAAGGGGGTACCACTAGTCCTCCTGTACGGGGCCCAGGTCATCCAGGGGGCCCAGGCAGCTGGGTGAATCAGATATGAGCAGGGAGGGTGATCGACATGGCGTAGAGGCAATTACTTGAACTGATCCCCGGTATGACTCTCTGCAGCAGCTGAAAGCTGGCTTCTTCTCCTCTCCCTCCCACTGGCTTTCAGCTGCTGCAGAGAGAACCATACAGGAGATTGGTTGGTTCCAGTAATTGCCCCCCACCACAGACATCCCCCTCCTGGTGCACAATACATTTCCCCCCACTGCCCAGACTCCCCTGTGTGTTCCCACCCTTATAGTGCTGCCAGCTTCCCTCCTCTCCTCAATGGGATCCTTCAGGACGGAGAGTGGGGGAAGGATCCAGTAAATATGTCACATTTACCAGTCCCTTTCTTTACTGAATGAACACAATGAGTGATCAATAACAATCACTCACTGTGTTCTTTCATAACTGAAGCATAGTAAAAGTAAACTGTGTTTTTTTTTTTGGGGGGGGGGCATGTCAGGTTGGTTGTATGGGGCCCCGTGGTTTCTAACAGCAGCCCTGCTATAGACACTTGAAGATTCAGTTGCACTCACTGTGTTCTTTCATAACTGAAGCATAGTAAAAGTAAACTGTGTTTTTTTGGGGGGGGGCATGTCAGGTTGGTTGTATGGGGCCCCGTGGTTTCTAACAGCAGCCCTGCTATGGACACTTGAAGATTCAGTTGCACGGATAGTCCAGAGCAGTGCTTAATATTCAAAAAAGATTCTATGTATTTGGAAATAGTTTCTAGGCAGCAAATTCAGTATTTGCTTAGTTATCTGTTTCTTCCAGGCTGCACCTTACAAGGCCTATTGAGCATGATGGGGGTTGCAAGATATGTGATAACTTGGGCCCTGGACCTAACTGCAACTTCAATGAGGATTAGAAAGTGCACACACATTGTTACATTGTAGTACTTCCAGGGAATTTTGGTGACCCTCAGTGAAGTTTGGTATTCAGAAGCATTTTCATGACAACAAATAATGTATAGAGCTTACAGTGCAATCACGTTAAGGGTCCAATTTACTATCTGGTATATTGAACCTAAGACGGCATTCTCTTCTTAGCTATTGACCACTTTTTTCCCATCATTAGTAGAAATGCAGTAATCCCATATATTTTTATTTGCCCATGTTCACAATATGCTAAGCCATGTTGGGACCATAAGAAAACAGAACATTTTCTGTGTAATACAATTCTAAAACAGGGATGTTTCTTTGGGCACCAGAAAGTGTGCAAACATTTATTTCTCTTTTCAAATATTATACAACTTACCTTAGCCCACTGGTGTCCAACTGGCCCTCCAGCTGTTGGCAAACTACAAGTCCCATGAGGCATTGCAAGATTGACAGTTACAAGCGTGACTCCCAAAGGCAGAGGTATGATGGGACTTGTAGTTACGCAACAGCTGGAGGGCTGCCAGTTTGACACCCCTAGCCCCTTCCTGCCACCGCCTTTTAAGAAGTTCTAAATGTCGTGAGGCAGAGGCGGGCATTCCAATCCTGTGACCGGTGTGATTGGCAGTCACGCAAGTATGCATCTGGAGCTCTCTGGTCCCTGCTGGTATCTGTGGTGGGAGTGTGCAGGGTGTGCGCTGTCAGCACAGAAAAGTGTTTACACACGGCCGCATACATGCGGCCTATCGGCAATAAAGCCCACCCGCCAAGAGGCCTCATACCTCCAACGCAAAGTGTTTTTTTTCTATTATTGAACACTATAGTAGTGGTACTTAACAGATATCTGATTTGAAACAGCTTGTAACTACCTACAATAAGTAAATTGTAATCTGGTAAGGGTTGATGTTAAAGTATAGTGAACCCTCACCTTGTAAACAACCCATTCACTTTAAAATGACAGAAATGAAAGACAAAGCATTTGTGTCTACATATAAAAATGTTATAAATACCTTTTTCCCTTTTTTATAAATGTCTCTTCATTGAAGGAGAGCAGACTGCCCATACTGTGCTCTCCTGCTAGTGTGGTCAGTTTTTAATAATAAATCAAGGGAACTAAGAGAAACATCAGGGATTTCACATAAAAAAAGCAATAAAAACAAAACAGGATACTTTTCCACACAACTACATAGTACAGCAGGCACATATCAAGAATATGAAATGTTGGGGTAACATATGGCTTAAAGTGATTTTAAACTCTTACATATACCAAGTGAAGTGACTGTCCTCAGGTGATACTCAAAGATGAAACACATTCTCCTACATAAGTTGTACCTGTTTACCTGCCGTCATCTCTCTTCTCTACATCCAAAGTGTTGAATTTATAAGCTTGTCTGAGAGTTCAGAAAAATGGGGGTGGAGAACTGAAATTACACACTTCAGAGCTCAGTGAGGAGAGCTGTAGGTGCTGATTGGAGGGAAAAGACACCGCCCCCCCCTTCCATACAGCTGAGAAGAATGGAGCTGCGGCTGTCCATCTTCTGGAGATCCCTCCCCGTCACCATTTTTCTCTTGGTGTCAGGAAAACTTGTCAGAACTTACTCATGCTGATAGCTGAGGAATGAAGCAGCAGGCGAAAATGACATTTGGGGGTTCATTCCTAAAGCTGGAAGTGTATAATCAGACTCACTTCTGCATAGAAACTGGCTTCTAACCTCGGCTTGTTCAGTTAAGCTTTGGCAATAAAACGTAAAAGCAGATTGGTTTCTATGCAGAAGTGAGCCTGATGTTTCACTCTCCAGCTTTAGTAAATCAACTCCTTAGTGCTCTGGATGGAGACAAGTACACACTATAGAGAGATATGCTTTGTTCATATTTCATGTCCGGGTGTACAACCACTTAACCACTTGCCCTCCAGAGGATTTACACCCCTTCCTGACCAGGCTATTTTTTGCATTACGGCGCTGCACTACTTTAACTGACAATTGCGTGGTCATGCAGCGCTGTGCCCAAATGAAATCAATGTCCTTTTTTTGTCACAAATGCTTTCTTGTGGTATTTGGTTGCCTCTGCATTTTGTATTTTTTGCACTATAAACAAAAAATACTGACAATTTCTAAAAAAAAAAACAAACAATATTTTTTACTTTTTGCTATAAAACATATCGAGTAAAAAATGTAGAAAAAAAATCAAATTTCATCATAAATTTAGGTCAAAATGTATTCTGCTACATGTCTTTGCCAAAAAAAATCCCAATATGTGTAAATTAATTGGTGTACGTGAAAGTTATTGCATCTACAAATGGCAGTGTGTATACTAGAATTTTGTTTTCTTTTTTATACTAGTAATAGCGGTGATCAGCGACTTATAGCAGGACTGCAGCTGGCATTCTGACACTTGGGGGGAGGGACTGACTAACATCCCCAGTGCCACCAATACAGTGATCAGTGCTAATAAAAAGCACTGACACTGTACTAATGACACTGAGGAGGAAGGGGTTAACATCTGGGGCAATCAAAGGGTTAGCTGTGTGCTGTTTTGCTATGTTGTCTGTGTGTGTGCTTTACTATGTAAGCATGCTGCTTTGTATTATTCTGCTATGCAGAACAATACAAAGAAGCATGCTGGTGCTGACAAGGAAGAGATCTGTATTGTTTATATACAGACCTCTCCCCTGTCAGTGTTCCTTGGCGATCACCGGGTGCCGGTGGTGAATCTCTGGCCGGGACCTGGTGATCGACAGCTGTAGCCACCAATGGTGGCGTGGGTAGGGCAACGTGCGCATGCACCCCCTACCTGGAAATACAAGATCAAGTATATACGTGATTTTACGCAGCCCTGCTGCCCCTGCCCTGCTATAGGGCGGTCGGGAAGCGGTTAAGATTCACATTCTCTTTGTTGGGTTCTAAGGAGTGTAGAAAACGGGTCAATTTCATATGAGTAGTACTACATTAGTACTATTGTATGCATTGTAATTTTCACATGCTGGTTCCTTCATGCAAGCTAATATCTATATTTTGAACAGCTGTATGCAAGTTGGATAAAGTGCTGTATATTTATGATAGGTAATACCAGATTTGCAATATATAATATTTTGTGTCCATCTCAGCTGTACCTAGGGCTAATCAGGTGGAAGCCAGTTAACCTGCCAGTGGACTTTGTTGCATTTGTGAGAAAATCAAAAACATTGAAGGAAATATACTCTGTAATGATAAAAAAAATGTAGAAACTACATGCAGGTAGTGCCCTGATTCACTTCAGAGCTAGATGCCAGTTCTGTACAAAATATAACCTGTCATCATTTAATTCAATTAAAAACTATTGCCTATGTTTCCTTCCTTTCTAACGTTTCCATCTTCCATAAGTAGATTTTCTTGCATGCACCTGCATTCCACAAATTGGTGTATTTTCTAACAGCTCTGGTATTGGATTTCGATGAATATTGTTCTGCTTCTATTTATTTTCCCCCATTTAAACCATTTCAGTGTTACAGGATGTCTTCAGAACTTGCAGATGTAGTTTGCAGTATTGAGTTAATTGCCTTAAGGTGAAAAGCACACATCAAACAGAAAGCAGCTGCCAGGCCATGTAGCAGGATGCTGGATGTCATGCTGAAAAATAGACAAAAAAGCCCCCTGGGAAACACGAAAAGGGTGAGAACTAAATTGTAGTCCAACATTCCTTGCTGTGTTTTAACACCTTCCATTCTGATAACTGCTTTCAAGGCATCTGGAGGCCAAGCACTGCAACCACCTAAAGCATTCACATGGTTAAGCTTTGAATTGACCCACATACTTGAGCTAATTATGTATATCACCACTTCCTTGTTGGTGCTACATTATTTAGAAATATTAGGTGATATCCGCACTTTGTTAGTTGTTTCTAGCCCAGGCTTGTTACTTTTGTTAACAGCTCTATGCTGAACCAAAAATGACTTTGCGTGTCATCATTTCCCAAAGCTTAACGTTTAAGCGGAAACAACACTTCATTTTGTAAGTGGAAAATAAATACACTTTAACCCCTTTGTTTTGGAAGTCGAATTCAGCTGTTGAATTGCAAACATGTAGCAATTATTTACTTTTTCAACGTGTTAAGACTTTTATATCCTAGTATTTTGTAAAGTCCTGAACAAACTGTTGGTGCGTCATAAATCCTGTATAATAATAAGAATAAGATTTAATAATAGTAGCTACAATTGAGATGGGAATTTCTGCACTATACTCTCTATGGAAAATGTATTAGAAGCAGTAGCAGTAGTGATGGCAGCAGTAGAAATAATAATATAATAATAGTAGTAGTGGTTACAGAGTGGTATATGGAAAGTCCTCAGCATGGTCTTGTCCCTAATTCTTGAATCCCTGAAGAACCTTGACCTGTTGGTGCTATATAAATCCTGTATTATTATTATTATTTATTTCAGGTACTTATATAGCGCACTTATTTACGCAGCTCTTTACATATATATTGTACATTCACATCAGTCCCTAACCCTCAAGGAGCGTACAATCTAAAGTCCCTAACTCACATTCATACATACACATACTAGGGCCAATTTAGACAGGAGCCAATTAACCTATCAGCATGTCTTTGGCGTGTGGAAGGAAACCGGAGTATCTGGAGGAAACCCACGCAGTCACAAGAAGAACATGCAAACTCCAGGTAGTTAGTGCCGGGGTTGGGATTCGAACCAGCGACCCTAGTACTGCCAGGCTGTATAATAATAATAGTAGCTAAAATTGAGATAGGAGTTGCTGAACCTTTAGGGGTTTATTTACTAAAGCTGGAGAGTCCAAAATCAGACTCCCTTCTGCATAGAAACCAATCAGCTTCTAACCTCAGTTTGTTCAATGAAGCTTTGGCAATGAAACCTGGAAGCTAATTGGTTTCTATGCAAAAGTGAGTCTGATTTTGCACTCTCCAGCTTTAGTAAACAAACCCCTTACTGTCTATGAAAAAATGTATTAGAAGCAGTAGTAGAAGTGATGACAGCAGTAGAAATCAGGGGTGGACTGACCATTGGGAAACTCAGGCACTGCCCGAGGGCCCGGGGTCAGTAGGGGGCCCCATGAGATGCCCCTGGTACCTTTTTCATAGGCTTTTTGAGTTTGTGCAAGGACACAGGGACCCCATGATCCTCTATTGCCCGGGGCCCCATGAGTTGTCAGTCCGCCCCTGGTAGAAATAATAATATAATACTAATAGTGGTTACAGAGTGATATATAGAAATTTCTCAGCATGGTCTTGTTCCTAATTCTTGAATCCTTGAAGAACCTTGACCTGTTGGTGCTATATAAATCCTATATAATAATAATAATAGATACAATTGAGATAGGAGTTGCTGCACTATTACTGTCATTAAAAAAAATGTATTAGAAGCAGTAGTAGTAGTAGTGATGACAGCAGTAGAAATAATAATATAATAGTATAATAATAATAATAGTGGTTACAGAGTGGTATATGGAAAGTTCTCAGGATGGTCTTGTCCCTAATTCTTGAAACCTTAAAGAACCCTTACCTGTTGGTGCTATATAAATCCTGTATAATAACAGTAGCTACAATTGAGATAGGAATTGCTGCACTTTTACTGTCTATAAAAAAATGTATTAGAAGCAGTAGTAGTAGTGATGACAGCAGTAGAAATAATAATAATAATATAATAATAATAGTTGTTACAGAGTGGTATATGGAATGTTCTCAGCATGGTCTTGCCCCTAATTCTTGAATCCTTGAAGAACCTTGACCTGTTGGTGCTATATAAATCCTGTATAATAATAGTAGCTACAATTGAGATAGGAGTTGCTGCACTTTTACTGTCTATAAAAAAATGTATTAGAAGCAGTAGCAGTAGTGATGACAGCAGTAGAAATAATATAATAACAGTAATAGTTGTTACACAGTGATATATGGAAAGTCCTCAGTATGGTCTTGTCCCTGTTTCTTGAATACCTGAAGAACCTTGAACTGTTGGTGCTATATAATTCCTGTATAATAATAATAGTAGCTACTCTTAGATTGTAAGCTCTGAGGAGCAGGGCCCTCCTAACCCTCTTGTATTGAACTGTATTGTTGCTGTATTGTCTCCCTTTATATTGTAAAGCGCTGAGCAAACTGTTGGCACTATATAAATCCTGTATAATAATAATAATAATAATACAACTGGGATAGGAGTTACTGTATTTTATAATAATGTATTAGAAGCAGCAGTAGTAGTGATGACATTAGTAGAAATAATATAATAATAATAGCAGTTAAACAGAGGTACTGTATACAGAACGTTCTCAGTGTAGTCTTGTCCTTCTTTCTTGAATCCTTGAAGAACCTCGAGCTTGTATGTAGAAGTTACTTTTATCACCATTAATGAGTATGTAAACCCAACATTTCATATTCCTGGTAGGTGTCTACTGTACAATGTACTTGTGTGAAAAAGTATTCTGTTCTCTTTGTATTGCGTCCTTTGTGTGAAAACCCTGTTGTTCTTGCCAGTCCCTCTGCTTTCCTATTAAAAACTGACAACACTAAGCAGGAGAACATAGTGTGGTCAGTTCTCTAGCTATGCTGGGAACTCAGCCTGCTCTGTTCCAAAAATCCCCCCCCCCCACGCACAGCCTGCACTGGGAAAATCAGTGCACTACTGTTTCTCCTCCCCTAAGCAGCTGAGAACAGAAAGTATGTGATCACTTATAAAAAGAGGGTTTATTTTGTTTTATATCTATACACAAATATTTTACCTTTCATTTCGATTTTAAGCTGAGAATGGGCAGCACAGTGGCAAATTGGTTAGCAAATCAGCCTAGCAGCACTAGGGTCATCAGTTTGAAACCATCCATGGCAATACCTGCCTAGAGTTTGCATGTTCTCCCTGTGTCTGTGTGGGTTTCCTCTGAGTACTCCGGGTTCCTCCCACACTCCAAAGACATGCTGGTAGGCTAATTGGCACTAGTATGTGTATGTATGAATGTGAGTTAGGGACCTTAGATTGTACGCTCCTTGAGGGCAGGAACTGATGTGAGTGTACAATATATGTGTAAAGCGCAGCGTAAATTGATGGTATATAAATACCTGTAATAAATGGGTGGTTTTACAAGGTGAGAGTTTATATATATATATATATATATATATATACTTTAAATGGAACTTTGTAATGGTGGCAAAAGCAATTTCTGCATACAAGGTCATTTGTAAAGTTGACCCAGATAACCCATCCAGTTTTGGCAGGCTGCACACTGTATGCGTCAAACTAACTGTTGATACTGAACATTGTACATACATGTTTTAAGTTGTGCTCCTACACCATTCCTTTTTTGGGTTGAACGATACGCACTAAACAAAAACAGACCCTAAACCCCTAAATGTGAGATGCGTTTCTCAACCACCCCCCTTAAGCTGCAAAGGCAGCTGACGGAGTTGTTCATATACTGCCGCTGTGGTGCTCAAGCACAGCAAATGACAATTCCTGATGATGGCACATTACTAGTGGCTGGCTTCCATCAGCAGTAACGAAGAGGTTTCTGAGCCTTTGTGTGCAATCACTGCCTGGCTTCCCTAGGTCCAATGCAATCTGAAGGCGGGACCTTCTTCATCACAGAGATTTCCACCTAACAATCACTTCCTTAAAAATTTAATCATTAACCCTTAAAACACATTAACCCTTCCTTTGTTGGAAAAAACACAATTTTATATTGCACATTAAGCACTTACCATCAGCGATAGCAGAAGTACTGCTACAGGGCAGCACGGCAGTGCAAAATCACGTATATATACATGATTTGCATTTCTGGGTAGGGGGCGCCATTATTGGCGACTGGGGATATCAATCACCAGGTCCCAGCTGGCAGTTCCCAGCCACCACTCGTGATCATCGGCAGAGCTGACAGGGGAGAGACCTGTGTGTAAACAACACAGGTCTCTCTGCTACCAGCATGGACATGCGCAGCAGAGAGATACAAAGCAGCATGTCTCAAAGGTAAAACAGCACACAGCACACATTGTAAAACACACACAGCACAAACTTAACCCTTTCATCACCCCATATGTTAATCTGACAGGGGAGAGGTCTGTATGTAAACAACACAGGTCTCTCTGCTACCAGCATGGACATGCGCAGCAGAGAGATACAAAGCAGCATGTCTCCAAGGTAAAACAGCACACAGCACGCATTGTAAAACACACACAGCACAAACTTAACCCTTTCATCACCCCAGATGTTAATCTGACAGGGGAGAGGTCTGTATGTACACAACACAGGTCTCTCTCCCGCCAGCAAGGACATGTTGCTGTGTATTTCTCTGCACAGCAGAGAAATACAAAGCAGCTTGTCTCCCTAGTAAATCACACACAGCACACTATGTAAAACACAACACAGCATACAGTTAACCTTTTGATCACCCCAGATGTTAACCCCTTCCTGCCCAGTGTCATTAGTACAGTGTCAGTGTTTTTTATTAGCACTGATTACTATATTAGTGTCACTGGGGATGTTAGTGGCAGTTAGTCAGTTCCCACCCAGTGTCAGAATGCCTGCCGCAGTCCCGCTATAAGTTGGTGATCGCTGACGTTACTAATATAAAAAAAATATAAATAAAATTCCAGTATATATACCGCCATTTGTAGATGCTATAACTTTCACATAAACCAATTAATATTCAATTATTAGGATTTTGTTTTAGCAAAGACGTAGCAGAATACATTTTGGCCTAAATTTATGAAGAAATGTGATTTTTTTAAACTTTTTTATTGGATATGTGTTATAGCAAAAAAAAATTGTTTTTTTTTTTTCAAAATTCTCAGTCTTTTTTTGTTTATAGTGCACAAAATAAAAACGCAGAGGTGATCAAATACCACCAAAAGAAATGCATAATCGCACAATTGTCAGTTAAAATAATGCAGCTCCGTATTGCAAAAAATGGTCTGGTCAGGAAGGGGGGGCAAATCCTCTGGAGGGCAAGTGGTTAACTCTTCATATAACAGATAAAATATCAGTAAGAATCATCCCCTGGAACATATTATACATTCCTTAAAAGTTTAACCATTAACCCTTAAAACCATTAATGTTCATTTGCTGGCTAAAAACCACTATTTGTTTCAATGTTAATTCTTCCTTTAGCAGATCATACATCAGTACAAATATTGCACACATTCCTTCCGGATGCTTAAAACCACAAACTATATAGACAAGATGGAAAATAACAGAATGTGTATAGCATATATTCTCACTTAACCACTTCAATACCGGGCACTTTTACCCCCTTCCTGCCCAGGCCAATTTTCAGGTTTCACCGCTCTCACACTTTAAATGACAATTGCGCGGGTCATGCAACATTGTACCCAAACTAAAATGTTATCATTATGTTCACACAGCTAGAGCTTTCTTTTGATGTTATTTAATCACCGCTGGGGTTTTTATTTTTTGCTAAATTAACAAAAAAAAGACAGAAAATTAAAAAAAAACACATTCTTCTTTGTTTCTGTTATAAATGTTTGCAAATAAATAATTGTTCTTCATAAATTTAGGCCAAGATGTATTCTACTACATGTCTTTTTGAAAATAACCCAAATCAGTATTTTTATTATTTAGTCTGTAGGAAAGTTATAGAGTTCAAAAACTATGGGATATGTCTGAAAATTGATCAATCCTGAAGTACTGACAGCCAATCTAATTGCTTGAGGCCCAAAATGTCAGAACAGTACAGATATCCCCCAAATGACCCCTTTTTGCAAAGCAAACAGTCAGATGTATTTCATAAGAGACATGGCGAGTTTTTGAAGCTGTAATTTTTTTTGTCATAATTTTTTAAGAAAATGAAGAAATTAAAAAAATTATTTTTTTACATACTGTCACCAGTGCAGTATAGCGTCATCATATAACTGGTGTGGCGGTGATCAGGGACACTGACTGGTGACAGTACGAAAAAAAAAATTGATAATTTTTTTTCAATTTTGTTTTATTTTTTTAATTATTTTTTTATTAATTGTTTTTCTCTTTTTTAAATATTTTCTTTTTATATTACATTATGACCAAAGTAGTATAATTTTACCATAGTAACATTGTACTACTTTGGTGAAGTGATCAGTATTTTTTTTTTTTTTATACAATTTGATTGCTTGTAACAAATAATTTCTTTGCTATAAGCAAGCATTTAACTGAATGAAATTAGGTCATTCAGGTTCTTTTTGTTGTGATTAGCTGTGATTGACCACGGCTAATCACATGACACAGATGGGCTGTGATTGAACCAGCCTGTGCATGTGATCGCTGTGACCATTCGCAGCTAGACACACTTGTATACAATGGATGGCATGAAAGGAAGCCATCCATTGTATACAACTGTCATGTGACCTGCTGTGATTGGTTATGACTGCTTGTGGACGATGAGATGGAAGAGATGACCCCAGTGGTGTGTTGCATCTGCTTCCTGTATTACATCCAAAAGGGGCCTGAGCATCCCTTGCATGGCCCGGGTCTGCCTGGAAATGTCTGGGTATACACGGGTCATGGCTCATCTATGGGGGCAGTGGTGCAGGCTTGACGTAGAATTTCCTCTTTCACCGTATAAAAATACACCATCTTGTGGTGGAGGTAGAGAGGCAGACACCGCCTGAGATGAAGGGGGTGCTGGTGGGCCCAAGATTCGCTGGACCCGGTAAAGTTCTAATTTCACTGTGGGCGGCTTCCCTAGTAGTTGGTTGAGGATGGCTGTCATGGTACCATGCAGGTTTGCCTCACTTGTGGCCTCTCGGATCCCCCGAATCCGGAGATTGTTTCACGAGTTACGGTTCTCCCCATCATCTAGGCGAAGGTGCACATCGATAAGATGGCACTGATCAGCCTCTAGGGCAGCAAGTCTGGTGTTGGTGGTAATGGCGGAACTTTCCAGGTCCACCACCCTTTCCTCTACGGTGTCAACCTGTTGACGGAGGTCATGTAATTCATGGGAAAGAGAATTAACAATAGAGGTGGCCATAGCCTGTAGGTCTTGTTTAGTTGGGAAGTCCGCCATGAGGTCTGTGATAGTACCTTCCATATAGCTGTGTCTGGCCCCCCATTCTGGCTGGAGTTTGATTGAGAGTTCTCTCGTGGGAGTGCCGGAGACAAAATCGGGGAGACCGGGTGTGGGTTTTCGTGGTTGCGTCCACAGCAGAGGAGGGATCTACAGAGTGCAGGAGCTTCTTGGCTAAGGCCGAGCCAGTAGAGCTGGGCTGTGGCAGTGCCATTTTAGAGGAATCTGCGGGAAGGGATGTAGGGATCTGGCGGAGGAAATAATGAGTCATTTCACCTCCCATAACGTTCCTGGTGGTCTGCTGGTGGTTCTGGTCCACCAGCATAAGAAAGCGGCTGGGCGGTGAGGCTCCACTGTCAGATTTTCTGTCCCGGTCCGTGCAGAGCTTCAGGATTAGCTTCTTCACGCTACCATAGTCAGACCACGCCCCTCTAGCTATTCTATTTTGATGTTTATTTTTGTCATATTAGGCTCAACCTATGCCTCTGAGGAAGAGTGATACTCAAAATATGTTGGACAGAACCAACATATCATATGACTAGAATTGTAGAATCTTAACTTAAGGAGAGTATGTAGTTTTTTTCTGGTTTCCCTATGTTTTAAAGACTGCATTTGATATTTTAATTATGTCCTTATTTATAGAAATAAAGATGTAGCAAATTGCCTTTGCATAAATCTCATGTCTTTGGTTTATATTTGGTGCCAATAATGTTCTGCACACCCACAACACAATTGATTTGAGGGAAAATGGTATGTATAGAGTTTTTATATAGGTTAAGTGACTGAGCACAGGGTTGGGCTTTGATGCTGTCATGCATTATAAGTGATTTGTAATTGTTTGTTAGATAAAAATATATTATCAAAAATCGATATCACTAACATTGTACACCAATATGTACAAAGCGCATATACTGTACCTTTTTTAATGCACAATGACTGCCGACAGCTAGGCATGGTAGTAAAGCTGGCTATAGATATCAGACAGAGGTTGTACAATATGCAATGATCCAAACTCTCAATGTTTTCAACATCGTCTCTGCCCCCTTTTTCCCTCCACCCCAGGCATGTTGACATTCATGTTTGTATCTTTAATCTGTACTTTTTTTTTACACTGTACATACTCAACACCAGAACTATAGTATGAAAATGTTTATTTTCTTTACCATGGATACCCAATAGATTGTCAAATCATTTCCAGACCTGCCAACATTATAAAACTTGTGCATCAGTCATCTAATGTCCACAATTATGGCAATTATTACACTGTTTTATCATTTTCATTCATTTTTTTTCTCCCAAAAGACTGTTCATTCTGGTAAAGAAAAGGCTGGAAATAAATCGCTTACAAGCGTTAATATTCATGAACTCTTAGGTGTCATGATTGTACCACTGGCTGGAGGTTGCCCAATATGCACTTGAGATACTAGTGTGCCATGGCTGTCAGAGAGTACCTTCAGAACAGCAAAAAATTGAGGGGGAGATTTGTGACTGAGAAGCTGAATTTCAATAAAATGAAGCAGATCTGGATCATAAATAACTACCACAATCTCACTACAAGGACATATTCTCTTGGAATTTAAGCGCTATGGTAATCCGAGGAGGCAGGGGTGAGGCATGATGATGTCATGCCTCACTGAGAAGCTGAGGAAGACATTTTTTATTCCTAATGCCTTGTCTAAGTTCAGAGGTTATGTGTTGTGGTCACTAAGGCAAGATTGTTGTATGACTTGGTTACTAGCAAAAATCACTGTGTTCTCCCAGCGGCGATGGCTCCTCCCCATGGTTGCAGGGAAGAAAATCATATCATGTATGACTGGCTTTATAATTACATAAATGAAACGCCTGGACTAATTTTCAATTGCAGAACATCCAGGTGAGTGCCGACAGAAGTAGTGAATAACCGTAATCAAAATGTTAGAGATATCAGGTGAAAATTATATAAGGGTGGGGATTAGGCATTTTATGTTTGGCATCCGAAACTCCTAGATAATGTTTTTAGGTTCCCATTTGCCTTACTTAGCCTCTTAGTTGAGTTGCCTTTGAGAATAAAAAGTAAAATAAGGTGAGAAAAAAAAGAAAATTCGGTGACTATATTATCTCTATAAATAAGCATATAATACAAGTATTGAATTCCTAAAACTTCTTTTTGCTGAAATATTTTTTTAATTCTGGTATATGAAACACTAAATCAACTCTGTGTCACAGAGGTTAATTAACTTTTTGTGGGTGCAACATATAAGTACAGTGGCTACAGTAGGTAGGCTTAGAAACTCAGGCTACTTGTGGGCATTGCCAACTGTTTGGT